GCTCCTCGTGGCTCGACTGAGGGCTGCTGGGGGCGGGGGGCGGGGCTTGTTGCATGTGCCCGCCCCCTGGGCTCCTTACTGCCGGAGCTCTGCTCCTGTACGCTCCCGCAGGAAATGACCCCTGAATACAGCCAGGTCGATGTGTCTGCGATCAAGCTGTCATGATGGTGGACTACTACATATCTTCTCTGAGCCACTTTCTAGTTTTCCTAGTGATAGGCAGGCTGCCAATCCTATGCATGCTTGTTCAGAATTAATACCCATTACGGTCAGTAGAGCTTCTTCCCATGTAAGCATGCAGGGAATTGCACCTTTAGTTAAATACAAAGACGAGGCAGCAGGAAACATGAAGCAAGCAATGGCACCTCATGTCTTCCAAGCAGGTGTTTTGTTCCTACATAGCCTGCCAGCGGCCTGGCCTGAACTACGTTGATCTCTTTTTCAGTAGCTTAATTAATCGTGTTGAGAACTGGCACAGAGACAGAACAGCAAAAAAAGACCAGCCAACCCTCCATTCTGTTCTTGGAAGCACAGACCTGCAAGACATGAAATGGCCTATAGCGGCCAGATGGATGTGGCTACTCCCTTCCCCCAACAGCTCCTTGGAGACCGCCTGCTCTGTCAAATTTGACACAGAAGGTGGCAGAGGAATCAGACATGTGTATCTATTTTTCATGAGAAGTTTGTATAGGTGGAACCACGACTGCAGACTACGACGTAACTTCATTTACAGGCACATTATAGTGCAATCAGAACACAATGTGTTACCTATTTCTCTCCCTGTCAGACTTCTTGCTGGTTTCATCATCACTGAAATCAGAGTCATAATCCCCATGACCAAGGATCTGGAAAAAATTAAATTTAAAAAAGCACATTAAATTTAATTAAGGCACACAAGACGGTGACATAAAAGACACTGCTGCCCATCCAACTTAAAAAACCAGGAACATTTGCGGTTAGCAAAGCCAAACTATGAAAATCCTAGCATGGTGGCTTCACAAGCAAGAAAAGAGGAGAGAAGGTAGAGGGAGGGTCAGTAGATTTTTGCTGTCCTTGGCCCAAAATGTGACTCTTCACTCACAAACTACTTTGAATGCTCTTCTGCTGAGGATATCACTGAGAGGGACTAGGGCAGCAATCACGATTTAGACTTCCTCTGTCCCCACCCTGGTCTAAACATGCAGTAAAGCAAGGTGGGAATGAAGGGGTAAAATTCAAAGATGGTTGAATGAACTGTACCACTTCTGACTGCAGGCAATGGCCCACTCTTGTGAACATTCACTTACATAAAAGTCTCCTTCAAGTAGGAAACAAACACACAGGGCTAGAACTTCTCTCTAGGTTCTAGTGCTGTTTTCTTTCTTGGAGGCCAGCCTTAAAAATAGCACACACCATCCGAAGTGATGCAGTTCATTTATGTCTCACTTTACTGCATATGCAGAACAGACCATAGAGATAAGAGGGGACGTGGAAATACTACATGGACTAGATTTCTGCATCCTTCCCTCCCAAACAGAAGGGAGAACACAGGTATTTTTACATACATACAAATATCTGCCTGCAACCTCCCACTGCAGAAAACAATGCTATAAATCATTTACATGTTGTTGTCCAGGTCACCCCTTCTCAGCCAAAGCGTCCAAGTATAATGAGCTATACTCAACTTTTTTACCTGTGGCAGCTGAAGATAAGCGGGTGGCAGTTGATAGACAACAGAACGATGCTGTTTCAACATGGTCCAGCCACCCTTGTCAAGAAGGTGGCCTCCCAGCCATTTCTTGGCCTTTCAAATTAAGCTTTTAAAACCTTGGTTCAGGCTTGTGACCTAGCCAAAACCACAGAAGCTTCTTTCTCTGGGAACATAAGAACATAAGAGAAGCCAATGTTGGATCAGGCCTCACTGTGTTTATCACACAGTGGCCAAAAATACCAGCTGCCATCAGGGGATACACCAGTGGGGCCAGGACACTAGAAGCCCTCACAATGTTGCCCCCCCCAAGCACCAAGAATACAGAGCATCACTTGCCCCAGCCTGAGAGTTCCTATCTATACCTTGTGGCCAATAGCCACTGATGGACCTCTGCTCCATATGTTTATCTAATTCCCTCTTGAAGCCATCCATACTTGTAGCCGCCACCACCTCCTGTGGCAGTGAATTCCATGTGTTAATCACTTCCTTTTAGGGCTGCCAAGTGGGGACGGGGGGCGGGTAAACCCCCGCTTCGGAGGCCCGATTTCCGCCGCCGCGAAATCGGGCCCCGGGGGGGACTCCGCCCCCCGAAGCGCAGCGTGGCTGCGTCACCAGAGGTGACACAACCACGTCAATCACGTTGGGGGCGTGGCCCCAATTGTCAGAGGGAAAACAAACAGACAATCAAAGCCACGCCTTCAATGTGATCGACGTCGCGGGTCACTTCTGGTAACGTACCAGCGGCGTGCACACGTGCACACATCCCCAGACGGCTCCCGGACCCCGGCAAGGCTCCCCCGCCGGTAAGCCAAATTGACTTGGCAACCCTACTTCCTTTTATCTGTTCTAACCCGACCGCTCAGCAATTTTCATTGCATGCCCAAGAGTTCTTGTATTGTGAGAAAGGGAGAAAAGTACTTCTTTCTCTACCTGCTCTATCCCATGCACAATCTTATAAACCTCGATCATATCACCCCTCAGCCGTCGTTTCTCCAATCTAAAGAGCCCCAAGTGTTCTAACTTTTTTTAAATAAGGAAAGTGTTCCAACCATTTTATCATTCTAGTTGCCCTTTTCTGCACTTTTTCCAGTGCTATAATATCCTTTTTGAGGTGTGGTGACCAGAACTGTACACAGTACTCAGAAGTCATGCTGACGGCAGTTGCAAAGAAAGAGGTAAAGAGATGGAAGTTGGACACAGCTGCCAGTGAAGTCAGGCAGTCAGTCAGTCATTTTTATTGGCATGTACAGATACTACAAACAGCAGTTGAACAAAGAGGGGTACAAAGCCACTTATATAAAAATGTATGTAGCATTTTAAAAAGAGAATACTATAACATTTCCTGACAGACTCTTATTGATTTCTTGATTTAGACCCGAAAGGGCTGGAAACTCTGCCCCTTGGTTTCTGGTCAACAGGCTAATAAGGAAACTGGTGGTAGCTTGCTACCTTGGGGCAAGAGGATTCATTTTGTTGGTATTTTGCTCTTGTCCAGCCTGTCAAGAGAACTTCTGAAAACTCTCTACAAAAAGAAGTAACACAGAATTGGCACCACTCATATAACCCCCCCCCTTTGTCATCAAGTCACAACTAACATGGCAACCCTAAAGGGTTTGTAAGGTAAGAGACATTCCGAGGTGGTTTACCATTTGTTTCGGATGAATCAGGTTAGGCCTATTTCAAATATAGGTGTGCATTTAAAAAGCCCTAGGCATCTAGTTAGCTTTCCTATATCCAGTCATTTTAACTCCTGGATGAAGGTACACCTCAATAATCTTTAGGCTTGTTAAGGGTATAGTACACAAGTAAACACTATTAGAGAATCTCTGCTTCTTAATATTGACTAAAGCAACAAAACATTATGCCATCCATTACTGTTAAATAGATAATTAAAGGAGAGCAATTACATGAGTCCATAAAAGTTTCTTAAAAAACCACCCTCAAATAAGCAGGTCACAAGCAAGGAGCCCCTTCTAAGAAAGCTCTCAATTCAACTTCCTCTATTTATAGGATTTTAGCATCCTCTCCTAACAATAGTATCTGATCCACTTGATACAGGTGCACATTCCAGGCTAACTCATCATCTTAAAACTTCAAACACTAATCTTAAAATATTTTTAAAAACTGTTCATTCTTACTACTTTTTATCTTAACAAGGTCTATTAAAATAGTGATTACAAGTTTCTCACACAAATGAATATCTTTTGGCTCTCAACCAACACAGCCATATTTGAACCATCTCTCTACGTCTGTGAAGGTGGACATTCTCAAGCACATCTGCAACTGGGCCTCAACAAACAGTATCTACTGTATGTGTTCAATGGCTTCTAATCTATACAAGGCAATACAATTATGTTACTACTTTGTTTTCTTGCACTTCTAAAAGGCTATTCTATTCTGAGTCTCTGAACTCCCTTTTTGGCATACTTTAGCTGGAAGACCAGTCTAGCTTTGTTTTTGCAACTGTTCCCCTGTATTTCTGGCTATATCCAGGACGCATTGCCTTGCCTCTGTGTAGCAACCCTGGACTTCCTTGGTGGTCCCCCCATCCAAGTACTAACCAGCGCTGACCCTGCTTAACTTCTGAGAACTAACGGGATCAAGATAGTCTAGGCTAAGGAACAAGCTAGTCTAGGCCAATGTACCCTCTAAGCCATGGAAACATGTGAGCAAAAATTCTAGTTTGTGAGCTACTTGCATTAAAGTTGTGAGTGCGCAATTTGGCTACTGCATAAATTAGTTTGCTGTGGAGCCATCCTTTCTAAGCTAAGACAAAAATGTGTGAGCCGGAGGCTAAAAAAACTGTGTGCTAGCTCACACTAACTCAGCTTAGAGGAAACACTGATCCAGGCTACCAGCAATCAGACACTTATATCATGACATTTAGCAAACAAGGAGTCAGATACGAGAAGGCACTGTTGATGGTACAGCCAATTTATGGCAACCCCATAGGATTTTCAAGGCAAGAAAGAGGTGGTTTGCCATCACCTGACTCTGCATAGCGATCCTGGACTTTCTTGGTGGTCTCCCATCTAAATGCTAACCAGGGCCAACCTTCCTTAGCGTCTGAGATCTAATGAGGTCAGGCTAGCCTGGGCCATCCAAGGCAATACCCATCCACTTAAGTTTTCATACAGTCAGATTTCCACCACAAATCTGCAAATTCAGTTCCTTCTTAGTCAAGCATGCAGCCACAATTATAAATGTAGAAAGAACAAAAAATACTTCAGAATTAAAATATGGAATGTATTAAGCTAGGAGAGTTCTTGTTAAGGTTGTGCAATACTTCTTCCTCACAAATACTCATGTATCCAGCTTCAGTTTATTTAAGGGAAAGTGAGTAAAAATTTCCCCAACAACATGTTCTTCTCTATTATGTAAATCTCACACAGACTTCAGAAAATGCCATGCAGTGAGCAAAGAATACTCCCTCCAACTATCAGTGCTGGTTTATAGGTCCTGCAATCCTAAACAGCGTTACTTTAGTCAATGGGTTTAGAAGGGTGTAGCTCTCTTTAGGATTGTACTGTAATAGCACAGACCCAGAGTGACATAGTTATTCCATATGTATGAGGATGGTGGTCCAACAAGGATCTTGTACATATACAATGTCTCTGTAACTAGGATATACACCCTTTCCAATAAAGCTGTCTCTCAGCAATTTCTATTACCCCATTTGTATCAGTGCTTTCTCCTTAGAAGAAAATGGGGATGCCTTTCTGCCATGGACGATTTCCAGCCCTTGGAAATGGCAATTCATTGTCCTACTATTATTCCCAGAGGTGTGGGTAAAGGATGATTTACTTTTACAGTTTACATTGTTATGGTTTTCAACCTCTTGTTTGTTTTTCTGCAGTACTTTAAGCCTGATCTAATACAGGACACTTATTTATTTATTTATTTATTATTAGACTTTTACCCTGCCCTTCGGGCCAAGACCGGCTCAGGGCGGCTTACAACAATAACATCGCATAAAACAATCATAATAAAATCACATACATTAATAAATACAACATAAATTCAAACAAGATAAAGTGCTAGCAGCAATCCTCATTATCCCAATTGGGTCTTCGGCCTTCTGTGGCTCTCAGGTAATTGGCACGGGCTGTGTTTGAGGGACCTACGGGCCAGGGCTTCGCCAGGGTAGGTATTACTTTTTGGTGGTGGAGGTGTTAGTGATTGTTAATGGTGGCAGCTCCAAAAGCCTGGCGGAAGAGCTCCGTCTTACAGGCCCTGCGGAACTGTGAAAGGTCCCACAGCGCCCTAGTCTCTTCCGGGAGCTCGTTCCACCAGAGTGGAGCCACCACCGAAAAAGCCCTGACCCTAGTTGCCACCAGTATGTACTGTAATAAGAAAGTCCAGTTCTGCAATAAGATACATGGATTAACCATCCTTTAATATTTCTCTATGACCGTATCACAAATTCCTCAACATTTATTTATTTATTTATTTATTTTTGGATTTATATCCCCAAAGGCTCAGGGCAGCTTACAACGAGGCATAACTGCCAAGGTTAAAACAATATAAAACAATACAGTACAATACGATTCACTAAAATATCGGTGCTGCAAAGGTCACATAGATCGTAAATTACAAGATGGGGTTCTGGAGTTATTAATACCAGACAAACAGCATACGTCCCAGCAGTACTGTCATCCCATCTTCAACCAGGAACGTCTCGCTCCCCGATGATAGCCACCCAAGCGGTGGTAAGGTGCAGTGATGGGAAAAGCGGTGATGGAATAGTGGCGGCGGCGGCTCCTACTCAAAAGCCTGGTGGAAGAGCTCCATTTTACAGGGCCTGCGGAACTGCACAAGGTCCTGCAGGGCCCGGATCTCTTCTGGGAGCTCGTTCCACCAGGTAGGAGCCGCCACCGAAAACGCCCTGGCCCTGGTGACACCAAATTTGTTGTTCCTGGGGCCTGGAATTTCCAGGAGATTTTGACTCTCATGCGGGGAAAGGCGGTCCCTTAGGTAAGCCAGACCTTCACCATCATTAAAAAAGAGTAAGAGAAGGAAATGTTTTCCTCCTGTCACAACATACATATGATGAGTAATTTTAGAGTTCCGATCAGCAATAGCGATTATGAATATAGAAGCAGTGGGAGGTAGTTTTGTGTTCCTAAAGTGGAGTACAAAGATATGATTTTCTAATATACATAGTTTCATATCACTGTTAATAAAGCGAATATGCATCTTATAAAGTATATGCAAGTGTTACAGTGCACAGCAGAGACTGCTCTTTTAAAAATGTATTTATTATCTATTATTCCACTTTTCCTTCAAGAAGGCCAGGACAGCATGACTGGGTTTGTTTCCCGTTTTGCACTCACAACAAGAGCACGAAGCAGATGACACCTCAAATACAGTCAGCCAGGGTCACCACCAACTTGGGGGGGGGGGTGCGTGTGCGAGAGAGAGAGAGACAGGGAGAGAGAAAACTAGGTACTGCAACCCAATCACGACCCTGTTGGAAAGCCTTCATCTTCGAACATCGGAAACCGGAACCCTAAACACCTATTTAAGCCTCATGTGTGAAACACCAGAACAGTCTTGGGCCTATTTGAGGAGGGGAAATGAGAAATGCCCGACCCTCTCCAGGGCGTGACTTCCCACCCCCGCCTCTCTCCCCCTGACGGTCACTAGGCGACAGTCTGAGCCCTGCGCTTCCTCCCGCGGCGAAAGACGGTCACTTACAGCACGGGAGAGATTCATCTGGGATGGCTCCATACTTCCGAGGCTCCTTGCGGCGGGGCGAGCTCTCTTCGAAGAATCGGAGCGATTAGGCCTCTGCTCAGCGGCGTCCCTCAGCAAGAAGCGCCCTGTCGGAAACGGCGACTGAAGCCCGAGGGAGCCGGGCGGCGAAAGGGCCGCAGCGTCGCCTTGTCTCGGAAGAAACCCCCCGTCAGACTCTTGGTCCACGCAGCGCTCTCCTACTTTGAGTTGCAGTAGGGTTAAGAGGGAAAACAAACACCTTCCTTTGTTCTTTTTTAATGGAATAACCTTTCCTTGGATGCAGTCCGGCTCCTGAGTGAAGCAGCCGTGTAGAAATAGCCGTGTAGAAAATAATAGCCGTGTAGATCCAATAAAAGAAAAGTCAAAAACAACTGCAGCGTAATTCGGTTTCGTCAGGAGCAACCAAAGGGTCACCGCGTAACGAGCAGTTTTTGAGGTCGCAAAATAGAAACAGGAAAAATAGTCACGAGAATCTGCTAAAAATTACATAACAGTGAACCAGCTTTTTGATTTTCACAGAACTTCTGCAGGTTCAACGTTAAAGAAGTCTGTATGAAGGAAAAAAATGTTAAATGCCATGGACGGTAGAAAAAGCTCCATTTGCAAATGGTGATTCGAGGTGTAGATTAATTCGCTTTATTTTTGCCCACTGCCAAAGCATCCTAGAACACAAGAATTAATTGCTGCTCTACTTTAGAAAATATAAAGGCCAGCAATTATTGTGTATCTCTGGTAGTAATAGAAATGCACTGGTCCCTTGCAGACAGCAGATTTATAGAAGCAAAGCTGGATATTACATGACACCAAAACTGTGTTCAGTAGAAACTAATCTATTGGTCCTAATAAGAAATAAGGATTCTTTCTCTGTAGCCTTCAGTTCAAGGTGTCATTTTGCTCACATAGTCTGTATAGTAATTTAGTATTGGTTTGTTAAGGTTAGTTCAGTCAGTGCATTAACTGCATATTTGATAATATGGACTTGGTGTGTAAAAAACACAATCTCGATGTAGCTTGTTTTCAGTTCTATTTTGCACATTAGCTGTATAAGATCCCTCTGACCTACCATCTCCAACAACCGTGGACCAGCCCTGTGAATGTCTGAAAAGCAGCTCTGTTCTTCCCCAAGAACAGGACTTTGGTGACAAGCATTACTCATGCCCCAATAATTCACTACAATTTTATTTTATTTCAGCTTTCTGAAGGCTATGGGGTGTAGTGGTTAAGTGTGCAGACTCTATTGTGGGAGAACAGGGTTTGATTCCCCATTCCTCCACTTGCAACTGCTGGATGACCTTGGGCAAGCCATAGTTCTGACAAGAGCTGTCCTTGAAAGGGCAGTTCTTGTAAGAGCTCTCTCAGCCCCACCTACCTCACAGGGTGTCTGTTGTGGGGAGGGGAAGGGAAAGGAGTTTGTAAGTAGTTCTGAGACTTCGAGTGAAGGGCGGGGTATAAATCCAATCTCTTCTTCTTCTTCTTATATTACTTAGTGAGTTTATGGTGGGACATATTTATTTATTTATTTATTTATTTATTTATATCTTCGATTTGTATACCGCCCTTTACCCGAGGGTCTCTGGGCGGTTTACAGGTATATGGCCTAAGTGCCTAATTAGTTCCTATCCTAGGGCCACAATTCAACTGGGGGAGGGGCTACCTATCGACACCCGAGCGGCACGATCCTGTTGTATTCCACGGGCAGGCTTCTGTTGTTTCTTCCTGGCGCCTTAGGACGGGTCGACGACATCTCCTGGCAGGATCCTGATGGACTCTTCCGGCGCGCGGCAGCTCCCGATTGCAGTTCCGGCCTTTGTCCCTTAGGCTCCGCCGCGCTGCATCGTCGCGCCGTCATCCTGCCGCCGTAGCTCCGCCTCCATCCAGTCTCCGTCGCCGCCATATCCATGGGTTGCCTCTGCTCCGCCGCCGTATCGCTGCTGCCGCCGCCAACACTCCTGGCACACACCATCAGGAGGAGGGTGCCCCCTGCCAACCTAGGGCAGGTACCCATTTGTCTACTTGCGGTTACGCTTTCGAGCCGCTGGGTGGGCGGGAGCTGGGACTTTGGGCCGGGAGCTCACCCCGGCCACGGTGGGTCTCGAACAGCTTTGCAAAATAAGCACAAATCTCAATAATTGCATTTGCATGTAATTGAAACAGTAATACAAACTGGACAATAGCATACTTTTAGAACATCAGCTAATAGCATCAACCCTGACCTACATAGCCCAGGCTAGCCTGATCTCATCAGATATCAGAACCTAAGGTCGGCCCTTGTCAGTATTTGGATGGGAGACCTCCAAGGAATACCGGTGTTTGACGTGGAGGCAGGCAATGGCAAACTGTCTCTGAACATCTCTTGCCTTGAAAACCCCATGGGTTCAAGCTGCCACAGAGAATGGCAATTCACTTTAAATTCAATGAGAGAACCTATTCCTACTTTTGTGGCCAAAATAATAATAATTTACTTCATTTATACCCCATGTGAAGAAATGCACTTTTTCTTTGGAGGTTTGAAAGAGCAAAACCTTCACTCTGAGTTTTAAAAGTTGTTGTTTTTTCTCTCTGGGCAGAGTACAGGCAGGAAGGCAGGAAGCTAATTCAGTTGCTTTCCAAACTTATCTCAGCCCACCTTCATACAAATCCTAATAGACCTAGACAATAGGGTACTCAAGCGCCCCCACCCCAGCAGGAAGTTTCTGGAGGCTTTAGGAAAAGGTTATTTTTTCTGCCCCAACCTGACCTAGTTAGTGGGTGGAGAAACAGATATGATAAAAACTCCTGACAGCAATGAGGCAGTCTCTCTCTTTGGTGCGGAGTCCATCAGAGCAGACAGAACTCTAACTGGGGTCTGGAGAAGGCAGACATTTAATCATGTGCTGTCCTGGAGAGCTGAAGGAAGCTTCAAGGTAATTGAACCTCTGTAGAGAACTGTAACTTTTTAAACTAAGGAGCATGTCCTATATTTTAACATCAGGTAGGGCATGTATAGAGAGAGGGACAGAGGAATTGCATTTTACCCATTTCTTTTGAATCTCTTGCTCATCCTGGTGCTGTGTTAAAGGATGCTTGTGAACATTTTCTTTTTAATTGTTTATAACTTTTGATGCTAGTAGTGGTTCTCTGTACCACATAGACCTCCACCGTCTTGGACATGCTATTTTAAAAGGAACGCCAGGGGGAAAGCAGTCATTTAGAAAGTGGCTATTCCTCCAGACGTGCACAAGGCAGTAAATGGTCCCCGTTGTGACCAGGTGCTGGGCACCGGGAGACACAGAAGAAGAGTTGGTTTTTATACCCCACTTTTCTCTACGCAAAGGAGTGTCAAAACAGCTTACAATTGCCTTCCCTTCCTCTCCCCACAACAGATACCCTGTGAGGTAGGTGAGGCTGAGAGACCCAACTGGCTTCATGTAGAGGAGTGGGGAATCAAACCTGGTTCTCCAGATTAGAGTCTGCCACTACACCCCTACACCACACTGGTGCTCTACACAGAGGCAAGGCCTCAGAACTTGAAAGGGAGGCTGGGAGTCCTGAATCTCCCAGTAGGCAATTCCTACAAAGGTCAGGTGGTGGTGGTGGGTTACCTGATAGAGGAAGAAAAGCCTCTCTAGGTCTAGGGAAAAATCTTGGGGGGCAGGGTGGAATAGGGCCTACAGGCGAGAGCAGGCCCATTCCACCACACCCCACCTTTCTCTCCAGTAGAAACCCGAAATGGCCTTCATCATTCTCCTCTCCTCCATTTTTATCCTTACAGTGACGCTGTGAGTTACGTTAGGCCCAGAGCATGTGTCTGACCCCAGTTCATCCAGCAAGCTTCCATGACACAGCAAGGATTTGAACCTAGGTCTCCCAATCCTAGTCCAACTCTCTGACCACTATGCCACATTGGCTATTGTAATAATAAAATAATGCTTTTAATAAATAATAAATAATTCTTTTAAAAGGCAAATAACAGAATCCATGTGTTAAAACATTCAAAAATTCAGACATTTTCCCTATAATTTTTGCCTATGCCCAAAGATTGCTTCCCCTAGTACAGTGGTGGCGAACTTATGGCACGGGTGCCAGAGGTGGCACTCAGAGCCCTCTCTGTGGGCACGCGTGCCATCGCCCCAGCCAGGCCCAGACCATCATTAAAGTGTTGAATTCTCTGCCAAATAATTTTAAGTAAATGAAAGCATTTGGGATTGCTTTCCTTACTTTGTTTGGATCATCTTAAGTTAATGTAGGAGTTGTTTTTTCTAAAGTAAAACTTCAGTATTCAGGTTAAATTGCCGTGTTGGCACTTTGCGATACATAAGTGGGTTTTGGGTACTCGGCCTCTAAAAGACTCGCAGTTTGGGCACTCGGCCTCTAAAAGACTCGCCATCACTGCCCTAGTAGAAGACTTTCTCCAAACAAACATTTCTCCCTCACATTGCCCAGACCCAACATCCTATGAAAGGAAAACGTATGGCTTTATGTTTTCATGAATAAGCCAATAATTGGTTCTATCACAGTGCATCATCTTTTTTCATGCCATTCCTCATATTTATATCACCCCTTCTTCCAAGGAGCTCAAGAACAATACTGACAGCAGCGGACAAGATGCCTGAAAGATACCGTGTCTCTTCTTCTTATTTGTTTACACAAATCCCTGCCTTTCTGTTCAAAGAATCTCCAAAGCAGATTACAATAGAAACAGATAAATATGCATTTTTATATTGAATGCAGCATATGGGATAAACAGTACATGCTCCAAAGTGGTAGACTAAAACATTACAATACAAATCAATATTAAAAGTAGAGCATAGTAGAATAGCATAGCTGTCATTTAGGAAAATGTTTTAGCAGCCATCTTAAACCTTTTTAAAGAACCCTAAAAGACCCCAGCACAATAAATTGCAAAGGTCCATTGGAAAACGTATGTTTTAAAATTACACCTGAAGGTTGATAGTGAAGGAGACAGATAACGGATGGAGACTGCCACAAACTGGGCAGCCATAGCTGAAAAGATGCTGACATGAGTGCTCACCAAGGTCACCTTTCTCAATTCCGTCTCCTTACTAGGGCCTGGCAGGTCTCAAAGTCTGGGCAGGTTCATATGGGCAGGAATAGGTAGGTCATTTGGATTTAATGCTTTAATGGAAAAAGCAGGACCTTGAACTGAATCTGAAAACAAATTGGGAGCCACCATAGCTGGAACATCTCCAAACTATCACAAAGAACTGCACGATGCTTTACAGCAGTCCAGTCTAGATCCTACCAAGGCATGAATGGCAGAGGCCAGAACCCAATTTGTGATCTTCCCTTAGAATCCATAGTTCTAGGCTAGGC